CTCGCTGAAATCGCCGACTGTGCAGGAGAAAAGACATGGGGCATGGAGCATCCAAGGAAAGGCTGCCCACTGCAAACAAATTAACTACATTGCAATCCTGCACTCGCACTTGTGCCTCTGTCAGCATGACCTTGCGCTTGCTTCTGCTAATAGGTTTGGATTCTCCGCCATATGTCATGTTGGGAGGCTCTTTCCAGCTGCGCTTCGATTCGCAGAGAAACCAAAAAATGACCTTACTGAAAACAACGCCTCACAGCGTCCTTGTCAAAAAAATACCACACACTTGTTGGCGGTGGATTGCGTTTCAGAAAAAACGGAAACCTTTTGCAGCATGCAACAACGAAACAAGTTTCAAGAAAGTTGTGGCGTCTTATATAACACCGGCAGCAGTCCCTCCCCATTTCAACAAGCACACACTGTCCTTCCGTGGAACCCCAATTCATTGTGCAAGAAAGGGACTCTCTAGAATGTGTCACCCCGACTGCAAGTTGAAACAACTGCACACTTCAAGGTGTGAGTTGATCGTTCACATTTGGATTGAACACAACTGTGTGGATTGCAACATGAAAAGCAGTGCTTCGACTGCCATCTTTTGCGCAACCTGTTATCCAAAATGTTGCGTCAACGGGGGGGTGCGCCCTTGAAACCTTTGTTCTTAAACAACCCGCGTCGGCGAGTTGAGGGGGGTTTGGGGTTTGGGGTTTGGGGCTGGGGGAGTGGGTGGGGGGCTGGGTGGGTTGGGAGGTTGGAAATAGGGGGTCCCAAATCAGCCCCAATCCAGTGAACCCCAAGAGGCATTGTGGATCTCTTCCCGGTGTAGATGTGCTGCAGAGGAGGTCGAAGAGGTTCATTCTGTAAACACACAAGGCAGTGTTCGCATGCAAATGGCCACAAAAGCGGCAAGCTGAGATGGCTGATAAACCATCTAACCCGGCTTGAGCCAGAAAACTTGGTCTTGGCACGGGCATCCTGTCAGGCGTACGCCCTGCCTCTCGAAGGCGTCTGCCCGGCACGTGTGGATTACGCGTCTCTTTTGGCGCGCAACCCGGGCTGCTCTTGCATGAAACACACTGGCATAAGTAGCAGCGCTATTTCTTTCTTTTCACCATTGCGACCCATGATGTCTTCCATGCTGTTCTCGTGACACTCAAGATAAGAGTGGTCAGTGTCATTGTTACAATGTAACAATGGGTAACGAGACTTGGAGATTATCAAAAGATAATACTCTCAAGGTCAGCTTGTAAAGGTCACAGACACTCTACATTTAAACCCGACACACTAGATCACGCACAGCCACAAGGGATCAGTGGTATGGCCCCGGGTTATAAATGTGAACCCAAACAAGGACCCTCTGCCCATCACCCCGCAGAGGGGATCAGGGCGGGAAGGGTTGGGATAAAAACAAAGCAAGTCGCAGACTTGAGCCAGCAGTGGCATCCAGTCTGCTCTTAAAACCAAGTGTGTTTCAACCCACAGTGAGGCCCTACCCAACCAACCTACTACACTGTGAGGTAAGAAACACACTGGCATAAGTAGCAGCGCTATTTCTTTCTTTTCACCCTTGCGACCCCCATGATGTCTTCCATGCTGTTCTCGTGACACTCAAGATAAGAGTGGTCAGTGTCATTGTTACAATGTAACAATGGGTAACGAGACTTGGAGATTATCAAAAGATAATACTCTCAAGGTCAGCTTGTAAAGGTCACAGACACTCTACATTTAAACCCACTGTCTAATATCACCCACTGTCCACCATATCTAAGTGTACGAGAAAGGCTTCTAAGAAGGAATCTGGGAGCAACTCAGCAGGAAAAGCATATTCTCCTACGTTCCAATTTTGGAGCTGAGTCCAAGAATCATGGAGGCCCTCACGAGATAGGCCGTCGCTAGGATTAGATGCAGAGTCGATCCACTCATACCATACTCTGCACCGTAACCCAGTTAAAATGACATGGGAAAACTGGGCGATCATGTGAACATCGGCCTGACTGCTGCTACCTCGGATCAAACTACTGGCCGGCAGCTTCATTGTCGACAAACCAGAGGAGGTCAAAATCCCTGATGGCCTCGCCATGTATCCAAGGCACCAGAAGTCCGCACAAGGCTTCGCCAGGGAAGATCTTCTAGGGATCCATGACTCCAAAACGCAAAACGGACAAAGGGACCAGGCAAGTACCACCCAGTGGCTTAATACCCGGTATAAAACAGATCCATCCGAAGCGCAGGGCGCCCTCCTCCTCAAACGATGCATCAGAGTAAATGGTAGCTACCCGGGGCTGGGGTCCACAGACCACAATGTCCCTGGGGCGAGCCATACGCACAATGAGCAACAGGATCTGGAGTGGAGGGCTCGTCTTTGTGTGGTGTCCTCATCGAAGACTCGTGGTTCATGTTGCTGAAGATGGGTGAGAACCGGGCCAGCAAACCGACCAACTTGTCCAGCACAATTACTGAACATCCAGTTCAAATCGCCTCGAACTTTGCCTGCCACATCCTGATCCATGCATCCGGCAGTTAAAGCTGCAGTAAGGTGGTTGCAGACCTTGGCAACTGTAGATGACTTGGGTTGGAACCGGATGAGGCCATCCCAGACAAAATCACCAACATGGATGGAAGTAGCCAAGTAGTGCCGGTTGGCCGCTGGGGCAAACGCTTTGGACGGCTGGGGTGGTGCACCCAGGGCTTCGAAACTCAGTCGTAAGCCTAACTGGGAGACATCCGACCAGCGAATGAACTCCACAGATAGCTGGTCATCGAAGTAGGCAGCGGCAAAAGCTCCACAACAACGGTGGGCAATGGCTACTCCAAGCTGGGGGAGGCGGTTGAAGCTGATGACCGCGCTCTCCAAGCCATAGGCCAGACCATAAAGGGGTGAGAATCGCCAGCCTTTCTCTTCAACGTAGACAGCCACGAGGCTGAACCGCTGCTGGGCATCTGCCACTGGAAGGCCTCGGTACGCATCACGGAGATCATCTGTCCCAATGCGCAGATCAAGCCATGGGAACTTATCACCAGCTGGACCTCTCAAATCCAGGCCATCAGCCATCATGCGAGCGAAAGTCGCAATGCAGTCAATGTTAACTGTGGTGATGGTTTCAAAGAGAGTGGTTCGGGCATTATGGCCAGTACGGCGCGCATTGTCAACGCAACGCTTCTTGCCATCGGCTTGCTTGATCAAGAACCGCTCAAGAGGGCGCCACTGGCCCACTCCATACAGGTCATCAACCTGGGCTTTCGTCAGAAAGAGACCACAAAACCCACGATGCTGCTCCTCCTTGATAATCTCCAGGATGTCAGCCGCGAATCGAGATGGCCGACTTTTGAGATGGCCTCCTCAGCGTCGGGCCCGAGCCAGCTGTCAAAATCAGCCGCCTGGGCCGGTTGGACCGGTCGAAAGACCCCACTCGCTGGGAATTCACCCACAATGTAGTAGCCCTTGAGGAGGTCCACTGGTTGCTGTAAATCAGGCCAGCGCAGCAGCAATGACGTGCTGCCATAAAGGCTGGTCTCTTGGCCGCAGCAACCTGCTTGGCTGAGGCACATCGAAACACCGAAAGGGCTTCTTCTAACGGCACCAGGGCCGTAGCCAAAGTCTTCACGATGTGACGCAACTCAGTGGAGAACTGAACAGCGTGCTGCCTCCACACCAGAACAAACTCCACCACAAAGGATATATCCGGTTCTGGCCACGAGCGCGGATTGAAAGGGGAAGCAGTTGGCAAGAAGCCATCATGTGCTCCTCTGGTCCCAGACCAGGGGGGAGAGGATGGTCCAAGCCTCTGCTGGACGATGACGGATACCGCTGACCAGTGAGTCCTGCATAGATTGTGGTCCTATCACGGGAGGTGATGGGGACGGGGCCAAGAGTCTCCCAAGGTTCACCCCGAAGCCGCTGCCATGCCACAAAGTACTGCAGACGCCGAAGCCGGCACGCGCGTAGTCGCTGTTGAGTGCACTGCCACACCTGCGGTGCGACAGGGAACTCGAGAAAGATGCTCTGAAGCCCTTGAAGCAAAGCACTCTCATCCAACAATCCTGGGAATGTCTCTACGCGGCCTGCCTCCCACACCTGTTCATCCAAATCACACAGCGGGGATGGCATCTTGGTAGCCAGCAACTGTGGGAGAAAGGCCAAGATCACAAACACGGACGGGATATGGAAACCATTCCCGATGAAACTGTTCTGGGTTTAAAAACAAAGCAAGTCGCAGACTTGAGCCAGCAGTGGCATCCAGTCTGCTCTTAAAACCACAAGTATGTTTCAAACCACAGTGAGGCCCTACCCAACCAACCTACTACACTGTGAGGTAAAAAGAGGCTGGCCTCCTCCGGGCTGTAATCATCTGCCTTGCATTGTCTCCACTCTGGTGTAGTGGGGAGCTTCGGGCCTTCAAGGCGAAGGCATGGAACCCGCTTATGCCCGCTAAACTTGGCATCAAGTTTCATGCGGCCGGAGGACTGCGCATTGGGGCTTCTCTCGGAGGTGAACATTGACTCGGTGGGATGTGTGGAATTCAGTGAGGCACGCCGCACAATGCGAATCATATGTGTAAGCACGTGTCTCGGAGGAGACTGTGTACTGATGGGCAGATAATCCTTGCTTCGAGGAGCATTGGTTTCCACACTGGTGGCTGGGCCGGAGTGCTGATCTGTGGTCGCTCAACCAGGGGTGGACAGCGCGGTCAAGCGCATCACGCCAGTGCTCCAGGCCAGCCAGCAGGGATAGCTGGGCTTGACACGCTTTGAGGGTATCTCGTTTCCATGTGTTGCTTCGGCTTCATGGCAAAAACATTCGAAAAGGCCAAGTGTCCATTCGTTGCAATTGCGGAATGGCTCGTGTAACCCAAAGAATACTGCACCCCGAAGATCAAAGCCCAAGGAATTCCTCTGGCGTTTTGAGTTTCGAGCGCCCTACCCACAGTTTGACCCTTCCTAAAATTTTAGAATCTCTCTCTCTCTCTCTCTCTCTCTCAGAACAAATGTTCAGCGCCCTTTGCAACTGCCGTTTTCAATTCACAGCTTAGCTTGGGTCCTCGCAACGGTGGGGGCGCGCGCAAGTGCCCAACACGAAGCTTCTTCGCCCTCTCCCTCGCCCTCTCTCCCTCTCTCCCTCTCTCCCTCTTCTCTCCCCTCTCTCCCTCTCCCTCTCTCCCTCTCTCTCCCTCTCTCCCTCCCTCTCTCTCTCTCTCTCTCTCTCTCTCTCTCTCTCTCTCCCCCTCTCTCTCCCTCTCTCTCTCCCCCTCTCCCCCCTCTCTCCCTCTCTCTCTCTCTCTCTCTCTCTCTCTCTCTCTCTCTCTCTCTCTCTCTCTCTCTCTCTCTCTCTCTCTCTCTCTCTCTCTCTGTGTCAGCGGCCGTGCCGTGGAGGTTCTTGGGCATGTCGTTCATCCACCTCGCGCGCAAACGCAGAGTTGAAGCCGCTGTCTCAGCCGCGGCCGCATCCCCTCGCGCGGGTTGCGAGCCCGACACGGCTCGCGTCGAGCTTAGCTTGATCGCAACGCACCACCTCGGCGTCCGTCGCGGCGCGCTAGCTGGCCACGCAGCGCCTGCGGCCTTGCAGGGTCGAAGTGGCCGCAGCGAGGCCTTCCGCAGAGTGGAAGGTGGACGGCAAGCCCAGGCGCGGAGCGGGTGTCCCCCTTCGCGCACTTTGGCAGTTGGGCGCGGTGGCATCTTAAAATTGCCATCTCCGCGTAGCCCACCCCTGCAAAGAACTGGACGGATTCCTTGATGGCTGCAGTCAGGGTGGGAGATAGGCCTTGCGAGCTCCACAATAGCCGTGTGTCCTCCGGCTGGACAGAGAGTTGCAGCAGGAGCGGGATCGTTGGGCGTAGGGGCAGGTCAAACAAGAAGCCAGCTGCACAATGTCTGCGCGTGGTTGTGTAGCGCGGCAAACATCTGGCCAAGGTCTGGAACATCTCCTTTTTGGACGGATGTGCTTCGATGTGCAGGGATCCATTCCCGTCATCCTTTTCGGGCTGCCGCCGGAATCTCCCAGTGAACAGGTTCCAGTCGCGAGCCTGCGCACGTCCCGCAACCTCCGCCCGTGAGGCTTGGCGCGCGGGGTTCCGCAGCTCTTCTCGGCCGCGCTACGATGGAGGCAATTTAGCGTAAATTGATGCAATTCTTTCATTTGTGGCTATTCCGCCGCTCTGGCGGCCAGCGTAGGCCGCGGCGGAATCTGTGTGATGGGGAGATCTGCTCCGCTACCGCAATGGGGGGCTGGGTGTCAATCAAGAGTCATTGTGGATCTATTCCGATGTAGATATACTGTAAAGGAAACCGAAGAGGACCAAATGTGTACATATACAAGGCAGTGTTTGGTTTCCAAGAGGCAAATGCAATTGGCCACAAATACAGCAAGCTGAGATGGCTTCTTGTCTTTCGCGCTTTACGATATACCATCTAACCAGGCTTGAGCCAATATATGGCATAATCGCTCATGAGTGGATGTGGGTCTGGGGGGGAGGTTGGGTGGGGGTTGGGAGGGGGGTTTGGGGGAGGGGGGTTTGGGGGAGGGGGGTTTGAGGGAGGGGGGTTTGGGGGAGGGGGGTTTGAGGGAGGGGGGTTTGGGGGGGGGGGTGGGAAGGTAATTTCGTGACGGTCACATGAACATCGGCCAAACATCGAACCATGGATAGCACTCGCCGAACTTTCAAGACCTTTGCTTCTTCGCATCGTTTTCGCGGCTAACTTGAAGTGATGGTATTGCTTGACAACAGGCGTCGTTCGAAGCGCGGCCAACCCGCCTTGTTGACCCAACATGTTGTGTGACATTTGACAATGGCTCGAAGTACCCTCCCGTGCGTGCGTTGGGCAGGCTGTATGAATCATCGGAATGCCAACCCTGTCAAACTTTGCACTTTTGACTGTGTGAACTGTGGCTGTGGGTCAAAAACAATGGCACCACCCATTTTAGCTATTTTAGTGGTCGGATTGGGATGTTCACTGGGGGTACGATTTGGGTTTTGACCCATGGCCACTCTTTGATACTGTGTGAACAGCGCAGCCTGTGCCGAGCCACGGGGCTGAACCAACTGCCTCCAGAGCTCTCGGTCACAACGCCGCTCTCCGAGGGATTCGCAGCCACCTTCTTGGCAAACATGAGGATGTCAGACCTCGGCCGACATTGTAGGCTTTCCATCTTGTTGAATCTCCGTAGCAGGCCGGACGCCGGGCGCGACAGGCGATCTCAAACAAGTCTTGACCTTCCTGTTGGTGCAAAAAGCACCCGAGCCCAGGATGTGAGGGAACGAACATGCCGACAAGTAATCTCCTGTGGAACGCAAGGGCTCCCTCACAAGGGAAGGCAGGCGGTGTGCGTGCAACAAACAAGCATCAACAACAGCTTGAAGAGTCAGGCAGCGGGCGTATTTCAACCACGGTCAATGCGTGTCGTGTCTGGATTGGTCCTTATTTCCGTCGCATGACTCCAACCATAAGCTTTACTGTACAAGGATTCTTAGCGAATGTCAACACTTGACGATGATCTTTATGCGAACTACTACCAAAAGGACAAGAACATCCTTGCTGCCAGCATACAGCCAGCACCAAATGAGCTCGTGCCAAGAATCTTGGCTGAAAACAACTCCAAGGAAGTGTAATCCTTTCGCGCTGCCAGTCCCCTTGCTAGTGTGTCCATTCAGACCAGGGCGGCCACGGCAAGCCCTGAAAACCTACAAGCAACGATCCCGCTAGCCACAAGCTAGTGGCAACTTGGAGTCTGAAGAAATCTCTCAAGTCGACAGTCCGAGTCCCCGGCACAGAGACGCCATCCGATGGTCCCACCTGCGCAGACCAAAACAAAACCGCATGGTCAAGCTTCTGAGTGGAGCCCAAATCTGTAAGTCACGTTTGTCAAGTCTTGAGTGGTCCTAAATGGTTCCCATGCATCTGTTTGCTTGGAGGAAAAACAACACAGTGGAGCAAGGCGCCGGATTCGGGAACGGATCAGATCTTTGCAGCGCCCTCGCTGCACACCCGAATTCCGGGAGTGGCTGGTAAACATGGAGTGCGGCTTGCACGTGAGCTCAATGCCACTTGGTCGCCTTGCAAAGACGAATCTTTCGGCTGAAAGCGTAAGGCTTGAAAGGCTTTAGGACTTGCCGCAAATTCGAACTTCATGAGGCCTCCTTGTAGTGGCCATGATTTGGAAGAAACACAAGCGGTGTTGAGAAGTGGATGGCGAGTTTCCCCTCAACATGCACTGAAAAGGATCCGGGATCCGACGCATCGGCCCTCGTTCAGAATTCTAGATCCTGCTGTGCTGCCTCAGCCATGTTGTCATTCAATGATTCAAAGCTCGGTGCTGCATTTCGCGATTCACACTAAGGGACATACCTCCCTCCGAGCATGTTGGAAACAACTTTCACTTCCAGACTTTGAGCAAGCCGATCTGTAGCGGACTTGGTTTCCAATTCGAACCGTCTTGTTGGCTCAGAGGTTCATTCGTTGCACATTGCCACTCAGGCTGGCTATCCAGCAGGACTTGGTAGTTGAGCATATTTCTGAGGATTTGCCTTTCCACCCCTTTGGTTCCCGAGTTGTAAATCCACAGCGCTGATTTAAATGAATATACATAGACATGTCATCAAGAAAAGCTTCCCTGTCATAGTGATTCATCAGAAAGGTTGCGTTTCATCCGTGTAGTATTCGATTGCTTCGAGCAGCCCTCCGGTTCGTCAACCAGAGTTGTGTCTGGAGACCCCGGTTTGAATGAGTCAGCAAAGTTCGAGTGGAACAAAAGTTTTCAATCTGGCCATGGGTCAAAATCCTGTACCCGTGAACATCCCAATCCCCACTAAAACTGGTTCTAAAATGGGTGGTGCATTCACCTACCAACCAAAGTGGGATCCCAAAACGGTTTTGACAACCACAGCCATACTGTGGATGGACGAAATTCTGCACCACTTGGAAGCCATGGGAGAAAAAAAAAAACAGTTTGTTGGTGTTTACAAGGGAATCATGATTCCAGGGTTTCTTAGGTGGTGCGAAATGGATTTCGTCCAACCACAGTGATGTCAGCCTTGGAAAATCGGCCGGCCCGAAGCACTGCCCTGACCTCTTCGGCCACCTGCCGCGCATAGCCCAGGATTCCGCTGTCTGAGCCCTCCAGGCCTGACTGACGAGCCCCCAGGACCCGGGTCGGTCGTTCCAGTGCTTGTGCTTGTTGAAGCGAGGACAAAATCTGCGGAAACTCAACAAAGCCACACATGCGCTCCCCTATGTATACATCGGAACTTAATTTCAACATATATTTGCCAAATGCATATAGTTTCTGTGTGCCGGCATGTGGCGAGTATCAACAAGCTCCATGAGGTTGCTTCGTACTCGTAAGCCTCCAAAAACAAGTTATGTTACACCTTCAGCGCAAGGCCGAATAAGTCTGACGTCACCGAGCGATCTATGCAGGCAGCGTCAAATGCCGTCGCCTGACGCCGCAAATTAACAAATCGCCACAAAAAGCACCAACGCTTCCACACAGGGTGCGTGTCACACTGACCTCAAAGCCTGCGGGTTCGAACCGAGCGACAAAGAACCAACCTTAAGGAGACTCCAGACTTGGCACAGTACGTGCCATGGTCCAAACACCTTGATGGTTTCAGAAATTTCGGATCCTCCTTGAAGGTTGACGGCCATCACAATTCATCCGATCAAGCAGTTGTTTCGGCTCATCCCCTCCCCAAAGGGATTAAGAACTCAGTCTGGCGCAGCCCTGCCGAAACCAAGAGGGCCACGCTGAGATTGCTGTTGTGACACAATGGCCGCACAAATCGGGACATCACACTTGGTGGTCAAGCACTTGGATGCATCAACCAAACAGGATGCCGCCTTTGCCATGCAAAGGCGAAAAACATGCAGCTATCCTCAGGGAGCCCCATTTGAGTCATCATCAAAACCCTTACTAACCTTACTAACCTTCACTTACCCGGGTTTTGATTGTGACTCATTTTAGGACTGACCCATTGGCTTCCACGAAGACGACCCACACCAAACCGCCCCGTCTCTTGCGGTCTCTCGGTGCCTCGAGCTCTCAAAGGCCGCTCCTGGCCGAACCGCTCGAAGCAAATGCCACTGGTCCTTTGTAGCCGAGGCTTCGGACAATCTTGGCCCAGCGCGCAGTCAACATGTCCCAATCAGCTGAGTGCTCCAAAATGAATTTGTGTTAGGTGTGAATGTTCGATCTGGCAGGAGCCAGATCAGGCTCTGTCTATCCCGCCTATCCTCCCACATGCAGCATGACCGTTGGTGCTCACAGAGCAAGGATATCGGCCGCAATACGACACCAACTGCCAGACCTGTATGCATCGTTCTTCCATTGTGAAATCCTCACATCATGCGATCTTCTTGGCACTTTCTAGGCGCGTAATATTGCGCAACATCTGAGAAGCTAAGAGATTTTATAACCAGCATAAACCGATGAGGGACCACCAAAAAACAACATTCTGCAGAACCAACAGACACCAATAGTCCTGGTAAGATTGTCAGTTGCGTCGTCCAGGGGCTCTCTCATTGGCAATATGTCACAAAACAAACCACGTGTTAATGCCCCTGTCTGTAGCGTTCAGCTCGTTGGGCACTGCGTAAGTCAAGCACAAGCCATCACGCAAGGAATTGCAATACTGTGATGGTCTGTGGCCGCTGCTGGTCGTCAAAGAACAAAGCTGTGCTTAAAATACTAAGGCAATGTCCCAACAGAATCAAAAAATAAGGTACAAATACCCACTTCCAAGAGGTTGTAAGGCTTTCACTGCTTAGCAACCTGGTAGGCCTCAACCAGAGAGATGGTTGAATCCCAGCAGGAAAGACATGCCCTTCAGTTTCCCAAGAGCACCGAAGGAACATCCTTTACCTTCGCGGTCGATCCCAGAGACACTACCCACATTGATAATTCATTTGGCCGTTACTACCCATGACTGATTCCCTGAAAACTTGCCTTGTGTGTTGCACAAAATACTCCGCAAACAAGCTTGATTGCTGAAACACCTACTCATGCATCCTGACGGCCCGAAAATCTCGGGGGAACCTTCTGATTCCTCATTTCTTTTTCGGAGGACTGGTGTGGCACTTGGCCATGTGGATATATCCCGCACCCGGCCTCCCGTGAAGGAGATCCAACTCGCTGCGACTGCAGCTCCAACTGGCGACGGATGCTGCCGAGGAATCAAAGATCCATCCGGGAAGAGAAAAAAACGGACCTGGCTGTGGCTCAAATACATGTACCAAAATGGCCCCCTTGGTAAATGGAACCAAAGACTAAAACCTGCGTAACCCCAGCTCCTTAATTAGCCACAGCCACCTTAGATGATGTCGCAGGCCAGCAATGTCTAACTTTGTGTGGCCATCTGCGTTCATGCGCTAGCTGCAGGACTGTACTGTAGAACGAGCCTCAAGCATACTCGGGACTGCTCCTTTCTGCTCTTTCATGTGTATGAACATACGCATCCTTAGCAATTGAGCGTGTCAAAATGAGGAGAATGGATAAACAAACCTCTGCATGCGTGGCAACCATTGTAAGTTGCAAGTGTTCTCATTGACGCAATCAGCATCCCTTTACGTGCCATCCAAAAAACTTGACAAGGAAAACTTTGCCCAGGGCACAAGGTCACAAAGATCCAATCCTTGGGTCCCTTGTTGGCTCGCGGAGCTAACCTCCATCAGCCGCTGACCTTCGCCCCGATCGATCCGATCCCAGGTCCGGCCGAAAGAGTCCCGCCTTGCTGTCGCTGCTGCCGGACTGGCAAGAGATGGCAAGAGAGAAGGTTCTCGGCACGGGCTTCTTCCGGGACCACTAAGAAAGGGCTAGCCGCTAGCCCCCATAGGGCAGCCCCCATCGCGTGGGAGGGTCACTACGAGGTGTTCTGCCTCTCAAGAGCAAGAAGGTACAATAAATATTGGAGCTCTGACAGAAAGGCAACTGTCAACACAGCCACACATCAATCTCTGATAGTCTCGTGCCTGCTCGCTAAATTTGTGAATGACGGTGCGTGGCACGGCTACACCTTGCGAATGCCTGCAGTATCAGGTCGACTTGATCTCATTAGTGGCCTCCTGCAAACAGGACCTTGAATCCTCACCTGCCTTCGCTAATACTGTCCGGCATGACACATACTGAACAAACAAGGCATGTAAGAACAAAAATCACATGAAGCGCCCTGCTGCATTTCGGGTTGCCTTCGGGTGGGCTTCGGGCTCACTTCGGGCGAGTTTCGGGTCAGTCGAGGGTTAAAGTGCCATCCCAGCTTGCTCGTCCCACGCTGGCCGACCCGGAAATCAAACGACTCACCTACCAGTCGTGGCTGAAGCTTGTCCGTCTTTTTCGACTGAGCCCCACTTCGCACTGCTGGGTTTTCCGGGTATGATGGATTCTTCATTGTATGTCGGTGTACTTCACTAGTTGGAATTGAGTCGCTCTGCCTGGAACCACGTGTGTTCATCTGGAATTAATCTCTGAATCGTTGTTCAACAACAAACTATCAACAAGTGTATTGCCAACTAATTGAGTGGTGTGTTTGTGACTACATGCGAATTGTGAGCACGTGCCGTAATGTGGACCTCGAAAGAACATTGGTAGCCATTTGTTGCATGACATCTATCCGCAGATTGAAAGAACTCTTCTCTGAATCCTGCGATGCTTGCCGCACCTCCTCGTCTGAGCCATCCTCCTGCGCCACCTGCACGCACCATTTGCCCCCTCTTGCACAAGCTTGGCCCGAGCACAGCGAAAAGGAGGGATTAAGACGAGAGCCCTGACAGTACGTTGGTTGTTGGGGTTGTCCCCCCATATTCGCCCCAAACCAACAGCAGACCACGTTGGTGCTTCGTGAATCTGACGGCTCGCCTGTGAGTTGGCCCTTGGTTTTTGAAGTTCCTTCAGGTACGCTTCCCAAATGCATGGGAGAAATCCCTCCAGCAAGTAAGCATCGGCCAAGTAGTGTTGTGTGCCCGCTGGACGAGAGGCTTGGCTTGCGCTGGTTCCATGGTTTGGCTTGACTCATGGCAACGATGGTTTTTGTTGCACCATGTCAAGGTTCGTGATTGTTCGATGCTTTCCCGGTATGGGTCCAACAGGAAACATCCATGATTCAACCGTGCCACGGTTGCAGCTGCTCAAGCCCAACCAATGGCACAACATGATCATTCAGCATCACACACACACACTCACTTTACCCAACGCACATATAATATATAAATATATATATATATGTATAGCTACACAAACACACACCTACAAATACACAAGTTCACACAAGCACACAAAGCGCACGCACAAAGACAAACAAGCACATATATATATATATATACATTAATATATATACACACCCGCCCACCCACCCGCCCACCCACCCACCCACCCACCCACCCACCCACCCACCCACCCACCCACCCACCCACCCACCCACCCACCCACCCACCCACCCACTCACCAGCCCACCCAGAGACACAAGCACTGACACAAACACAAAAGCACACACACACATACATACACACACCACCACACAATTGTACATATTTTTATCGCTGGCGTCACTACACAGGCCTAATGATAGCTGGGGTCAAAACTCCCACGCACTCCTGCCGCAGCTACTGTAATGACTTCTTGAAGTTATCTTTCACAGATCTTGCCCTGCAACAGGGCTCCCAGGCTAAGAAAATGTGGGGTAGAAGGCAAAAGTGACTGAAAGTAAACCGTGAATTTGTGCACAGTGCCAGATTCTAGTATCTGTTGTTCATGAACGGGCATCTGCAATAGCCAACGCAACATCAGCAATGCTGTGGAGGGACTAAATCCTGTACCTGAAATTTATGATTCCACTGTAAATAGCAACAAACAGTGGTTGCCCATGGCTTCAAAGTGGTGCAGGAATGCGTCCATCCACAGTATGGCCTGCAATTCCTGCTATCTCATACTTCACAACTCAAACCCATGTCTACATCCGAATACTTCGCCAATGCATCAAACAAATCCCCACATGACCATCAACCAGGCCAATCACAGATTTATATGCGGTGTGACAAACTGAAAGGACATTGCTCACATGAACGACACCTGATTCGACATAATTAAGCCAGGGATGGTATTCCCCGCTTTGAGAGGCATGGGAGAGGAAACGCAGAAGTGTTGCGCTTGCCTTGTCCTGCACATATCACATTCGCGTTCCGTCCATATCCCTGCTTCATATCTCTGATATCGCCGCTTACTCGATCAACAAAGCAGCTAAAGAATACCAAAAAGCTATAACCAACCACATGGCCATGGGCCAAAACCCGAATCGTACCCCCAGTGAACATCCCAATCCCCACTCAAATAAGTTCTAAAATGGGTGGTGAATTCACCTACCAACCAAAATGGGATCCCATTGGTTTTGACAACCACGGCCACATCTCTGACCAATGCAGCGACTTGCAACCAACGGAAACCAGAAATCACGCCGAAGGAACTCCACCGACCTCCTGCACTTCTGGCTTCATGGAGCGCCTGAGGGTCGAGAGGTGCGCCCAAGGGTTTGGGTTCAGAGGTTTCGCTTCAAACCGAAAGGCTTTGAAAGGCCCAGTGTCCTTTTTCAGGATGAATGATTTGCTATTGTCTACGGAGCCACGGAGTGATGTGTTCCAGCTTGCTCGGCTTCTCACTGAGTCAGTTCTGCTCGAAGGTTTATCTCTGAATGCAAGGCGACTGGAGAAGAGGTATACCACCCGAGAGTTTGCAAGACATGGCACAGACAGACAGACGGAGACAGAGACAGAGAAAAACAACCAGAGACAGACGCACAGACAGACACACACACACAGACAACTCGGACAGATACCGACTGACATAAACAAACACAGAGAGACGCAGGCAGATGCAAACAGGCGGAGACAGGCACAAACAAACACAAACACATTGCGCACACACACACAGAAGCACAAACACAAACGCACAAACACACAAACACACAAACACCCAAAACACCCAAACACCCAAACACCCAAACATCCAAACACCCAACACACAAACAAACAAACACACAAACTCCCAAACACAACAACACGAAAACACATACACACAAACAAACAAACACAGACACAGACACAGACACAGACACAGACACAGACACAGACACAGACACAGACACAGAGAGACACAGACACACACACAGAGAGACACAGACACACACACACACAGAGAGACACAGACACACACACACACACACACACACACACACACACACACACAAACACACACACACACACACACACACACACAAACACACACACACACATACACACACACACACACACACACAAACACACACACACACACAACACACACACACACACACAGACACAGACACAGACACAGACACAGACACAGACACAGACACAGACACAGACACAGACACACAGACACACAGACACACACACACACACACACAGAGAGAGACACAGACACACACACACACACACACACAGACACACACACACACACACACCCACGCACGCATGCACCCACCCACACACACACACACACGCAAACACACACGCAAACCACACAGACTAAAAACAGACGGATGCAGAGAGTCCGACAGGCAAACTGGCATACAGGATCAGGCAAACAGCCGAACAAAGAACCAACTGAAAGATCAAAAGAATTAACACACAGCCAAAAGCACAAACATGCAAGCAACACAGTAGTCGGCGAATCTTCCACCTTCACTATGTGACACACACACACACCGCAAGCACAAAGTAGACATTGAGATATCATCCACTTTTAGTTTGTTCAGACCAGCGTCTTCTGGTCAGTCCTCAGGGTTAGAAGGTTCTCCTTCGACGCATGGGTCCGGTCATAGTCTAGGTCCTCCAGTAGAGAGATTAGAAGAAGCTATTTTTTAGTATGGGAACCCTACCCGTAAAAGGGCACTACTGGGGGGCCTAGTAGTGAATGAAGATTTCCAGCCCCCCGCCCCTGGCCTGGAAGCACGTGCCCGCGCTGGGCTCTCCGTGCCTGCCGTGCCTGCCAGGGCCGGGCCCTCGATCGGCACGTGTTTCTCAAAAGCGCAGGCATCGCAATCACAAAAGGGTCACTAGTATTGGAACCCAGCCACATGTTGCAAGTCCACCAACCGTAGCACGTGGGAGGGAAACCACACTCTTTCCTGCAACATTCTGAGAGAATCAATCAGCGCACTTGATATCATGCATTCCTCAGCAACGCAAATCACAAGTCGGAATGTCAATGTTGGTGGTATCCACCTCCACATTGCTAACCAAGGAGTTCCTCAGCTACTTGCAAACACTCTGGCCAGTCCTAGGCCATTAAGGCAAAGCTGCGCACTGAAACACGGGTTACGGAAGTTGGGAGAAGGAATGGCAGTATATCCAGCATCCGCGGCAGGAATGTCCAATTTTCTGAACAACGCCTTTTATCCAGAGTCAGGCGCGAAAGTGCCCACTATCCCATCCCCGGCCTGCTGGCGCCTGGCGCGCAACGACTGAACCGCTGGAGAAGCAGGGACCCTCCCAAAACGGTCACTTGCATTAGCAAAAGGGGTCATAATGCGTGTCAAAGCACATGATCAGCCCCCAGGCCCAATTGCGTGGGTTGGCCGAAGTAGGCATGCCAAATCTCAAAAATGTTCTTAACCGGTGTTTGTCAGCTGAAGCTGTTCGTACTCCCAAATATCGTTTGAGCTGTCTGGGAAATTGAATGTGACGCACGAATATGAAGTGAAAAGGACCGACGCAAATGCAAAATTGGGAGTTGTGTTCTTCAAGTCCAGGTCGCGTTGAATTGGAAAGGTTGAATGGCATGATCGTGTTTGTGAAAACAAATAACCCTTCCAAACTTCGCAGGCTAAGTTGTGATCAATAAGCTTAGTAGGTTGCACGGCACAATCGAGCGTCGCAAACAGCACTGCTGGAATGGGTCCCTTGGCCGCGCTCGCACGTTTGCGTCCGGCGCTGAAGTGCGCAACGCGCAAAACGTCGCCGCGTCTCTCCCCTGTTTTCTTTTACCCTGCAAAGCCGGCGTCTTGGTGGTGTCTCGGAGACTGAACCAAACCGAAGCCAAACGCACCAGCAACCAATCCGACGCCTGACGCGAAACCCTACGCCCCAAACTGATCCTAAACCCATTTCTTCACTGGTCGTGACCCAAAAAAGAGCCGACCCTTAAAAAACCCTGAGCTGACACTCAACCCAGCGAGCGCCACACTGTCCCCAGCTGACCCTCATATCTCATCGTACCTGAAGCCTGGCGAAACACAATCCTAAACTACCCCCCAGCCCAACCTAATCCAGCAGAAACCCTTAACCGAACCTCTAAGTGAAGAAGCTGTCAAAGCAATGCGAATTCCTTTTCTCCCCTGTCGATTCTACTGTCGCGCCTCAGTGTTCGAGAGGCCCCGGCTTATAGAAACTGTTCTTCAAGTGAAGCTGCTCTTGTAAATCCAGGTTCCTCCCGGGCCCTTGCCTAGGGCACTGCCTGACCGGATCCTTGGTGCCTTTGCGATGCGCGCATACGCGGGCCCGCTGGTCTTTCGGCCCGCTGGTATTTCTGACAGGGGCCCCACCACTGGAGGATACCCGACGGAGTCCTGCGCGTGAGGGAAAAGGAAAACCAACACAAGCAGGGCCTACCAAATTTGGCCAACGGCAGGAATGCGTGCTTAACAAAGCAACGCCAACCCGCCCAAGCCTCGAGGACTTCAACTCTTCGTCAAAGCAATGCGCCGCCCTTTTCCCCTCTTTCGATTCCACTGTCGGCTTCGAGCAGCCGGTCAAGGGCACCAACCCGCAAACGGCGCCTGGGCGACTAGGCCCTGAGGTCCCGCCAGGTTAGCGCGAATGGTAGCCCCCTCAGATCGCCTGCAGATGCCTCTCCGCGATCTGCTGCATGTTGCAGAGGCACCTCCGGAAGCCACGCAAGCGAACGCCACTCGTGACACGGGCCGCCTTCCGGGCCTCCGAAACTGCTGCAGAGCGTCCTCAGACGTCAGAAGAACGCGAGGTCAGCAGTGTTTCGACGCCCTGCTCACACCACACCTCGACCGTAGCCGCATCCTGCTGGACATGGCCGGGGGGAGGGGCCGTGGAAAAAGGAAACCAGCCGAGACAGGACGGAGCAGATCCAGTAGCCTGCCTGGCTATTTTGGCTTGACCAAAATGGCACACCGGAAGGCACTGATGCCTCGCCAACCTACCCAAGCCTGAAGGATTGCAATGAATTCGCCATCACCACACCCGACCCCCTCCACCCAGCTCTAAACTCTCCTAAACTGGCCCTCATCACACCCTGAGGGCCTACATGCTACGCACTGTCCCCGCTAATGCTATATGTTGTTCCTCAGTTTCGAGTCAGTCATGAAGAGTAATGAATTGCGTGTCAGGGTTCTACTCTCCTGACCAACTGGTCAACTGCTCCAGATCAGCTTCCCTCTAATTGATGGGTTGGTGGTTCAGGATGGATTTCCCCAAACCACCAATCCAAACCACCAGTTAAGGGTTACCAGATCAAAGTTGCTGCAAAAAACACAAGCGAATACAAAAGAGACGATAGGCAGTATTACACGTGTGTTCAAAGGATCCCATATTTCTGGCACTTTATCTTGATCTTTTGGGAGAGTCGCCACCAATGTGTCCATCCCTGGCGTGCTCCCTATTGGAATCAAGCCGCAAAGCCGACCATGCTGAGGAAAAACACTCTTTTTCAGGCACCCCTCTACATTGCCCTGAAAGGAGCGTTCAAGACACACGGCGGTTTGTTGGTTAGATGGGTTGTTTCTCGTGCGGAATGTACTTCTCCAATTGCTCTTCGCCAACAACCAGGAGTGCAAGCAGAACAAACTTCCATCAGTGAAGTCTGTTCAAGCAGGGAACTCCTAAATGTTTGAAGTGCAGATCTCAGATGGATCAGGGGGCTGTGCCTCTGCTAGACGTGATAGTTCAAGCATTTTCTGCAGATCGTGTTCGAGTGTCTTTGCTAAGTTGATTTGAACTGCATATTCGTGGACTGGCCCGCCCATGCAAACTAGATGCGGCTTCGCCTCCCCTTCTGAGGACTGCGAGATTGAATCCAGGTCATCCTGCAGAGCCGCGGCTTGCTTAAACGTCCGTCAATTTCTGTTCACTGGGTCCATAGTCAACAAAAGGGCGCAACACGGGACAACTGCGGTGGATGCACACAATACGAGCTTCAGCGTTGTTCTCCTACTAACCAGTGCCAGCGACTGGAGCAGTGTAACAGACTTCGGCATCTATACAATGCGACAATATGCGAAAACCTGACACTGTGATCTGCCGTGTATTAGGTATTAATGAACTAAGGCACTTCGCCACAAAGATGCCGCGCCGTGACAGTCGATGCGACCAGGGGCTGTCAATCTAACATGATGGACCGACACTTACTTCCATTTGCTTAAGCCCCCTGCAAAAAAGTGATATTTCCAGTAGTGATAAATTCCGAATTAGATTCCATTTAAAACCAACAAGGGGAAATGTAAAATATTATTAAGCAAATGGAGGCTTAGACAATACCCGATGCCGAGCCGGCCTACGTAGCCTCGTTTAGGTGTCCATCTGCCAGGGCTTGGCCATCTCACTGTGGCTACCCGGATTCGCCATGGAAACAGACATGGTCAGCCCAAGGACTTCTGAAGCAAGAAAGGATCATAAATGCCGATGCATGTTCAAGCCTAGAACCCGCCATGACAAACAATCTCCACGAGTTGATTCGCCCTCTTGTGGCTGTGTAGTACACTTGGCCGCCTGGGCCTTTTCTCTACCATACAGGGGGAAAGGGTCCCAGCCAGGGTCACGGGCCAAAACATCCTGGCCAGGATGGCCGCCGCTCTAAGCCTCCCTCGCCGGATGTATATATAGATAATTCCGTCCCATTTGGGAGGGTCCTCCTCACCGAGCATACAGGAGGAAAAGGGTGGCTTTACACGAATGATCCTTCTCTCGGAAGGATAATTCGTGTTTAAAGCCTCCCCCTGGCCGTCCGGGCCGAAAAAAAGGGGAAAAAGGGGGTCCCGGGGGAAGACAATTCCGACCCAACGCTTCAATACACGAAAATCAGATGGTTCTGCGGGATATGCACATGCATCAGCACGTCAAATTGAGGACATGTTTGTCAAACCTTTGCCACATCTCGATCTCTCTTTGGGCCGCTCTAGCGCTCCTCGGAGTCGTCGCTGATCTCATCATCTTCTACTTCATCTGTCAGCTGCAGCAAGAAAAAAAGGCCTATGACGCGCTTATCACCTCAAAAACGGTGCGCCAAACAAAAGCTTCAGCGTGTCTCGAACTGAGCTTTCACGTCTCAGAGCCTGCCTTTGCTACAACAGGATGGTCTGGGGGTCGTCGTCGGCTAGAATGGAAATGGCAAAAGATTGGGCATGGGGCTCAGACCCGTATGCACCGCCCCAAGCGAGCGCAATCACATACATAGGAATGACTGGCAACCAAGCCCAAACCATGCGGGATCATCTGGCCTCTTTCAGGCTTGCTGGCGGCATCCTGAAAGATGCTCTCCTGCCGCTTGTATCAGACAGCCAGATGGACATAAAAGCCAGCCACAAAGTAGCCGACACAACGAGCAAACAAACCCACCAACCCACCAGTCATGGAGCAATCGCAGTGGTTTGATTGCCAAGGTCTCAGTCATAGCAAGTTGCAAGCGGGTCTTGTTTGAAGCCAAATCGGCAATGTCCAAATGCCATTCGGCGTTCAACCTTGGAATTCGCGGCATTCTTTGAACTCCAACATTCACTCAGACATGTGGCCGCCACTTGCCCTGAGCACTCGACACGTGCCTCGAGCATTGAGAACAGTTTCAAACGAAACGATTCTGCGCCTCTTGATTTGCCATCCCGCGATCTGGCGCCACGCCTGTTTCCTGTCAAAATGCCTGCTTGAGCTTGAACAAACCGGAACTTCAAAGCGAAAAGGAAAGCCATTTGGGCCCTGCGACCAATTAAACCAGTTGCAAATCGAGCCGAAATACAACTTCCGATCTTACTTTCAAGTGCAGGGGGATCCAGCTTGAGGTGGTCTAGATGGATCGAAGACATGCATCGGAATGCACCAATGCTAGGGCTGTATGAACTGGCCACACTGTAGGAAACCCTGGAATGAGTCGATTCCCCTACAAATCCCAACGAACCTTCTGGTTTTAATTCGCATCTTTAAAACTTGGTTGCTGTTGACCCCCCTGCAAAAAGTTTAACTTTTTGGGGGTTTAGTGCAAAACACCATGATTGTCCAAAAAGTTAAAGTCTAAAGACCCAACCCAATAGCAGTCAAGAAAACAAGGCGCGACGAACCACTGAGCATCGCCCTCCTGGCGTCGTCCCATGGACTGCATCCAGGCCAAGAAGAGCTGCTGCTGGGAGCCCGCCGCGCCCTGTCCAGCGCGAGAAGGGCTGAACTTTGAGTTTGCCGAGTGCTTTCCCAAGCTGACCTCTAACTTAATTGGAAGGCCAATTGAGTGGAGCACAGTGGAATCTTGTAGATCTATCCGAAATGAAGCGACGAGTTGCGTGTCTGTGTCTCTTGTCTGTGTCTCTTGTCTGTGTCTGTGTCTGTGTCTGTGTCGGTGTCTGTGCTTGTCTGTCTCTGTGTCTGTCTGTCTGTCTGTCTGTCTGTCTGCCTGCCTGCCCCCTTTTCCAAGCTTTCAAAGGTGGTCTTCACAACTTTATCGCCGCTCAAAGATCTCGTTCTGGACCTCATTTTAACTTATGATTGCGCGGGGCCGAGGGCCAGGGCGCTAAAAAAGCCTGAATCACGCGCTAATAGATTTTGCTGGAGGGGCATACGTCCCAAAGATAGCTGCTCAAAACAAATGCTGCTTAGTTGAACTCCAAGCACACAAACATATATTTCAGCTGCCCAACTCTGATTCTGCAGCGGCAAGCACTGTTCAATCCAAAAAGACAAAATCCGGTTTCATGCGCCAGACTGGTTTGCAGCTCAAAACACAACGCCAGACTCTACTCTAATTGGCAGGATGGGTCATCTACCCAAAACTCTTTTGCGGGCGAAAGCAATAGCCAACGCTCACAGCGGGCTTCAGAACCGCCACGTTTCGCGTACAGGAAGCAAACTTGGCTATCTAAGTATCTCTGCACTTGCGCATTTCAGAGTTCAAAGTGGTTTAAACACATATTCATTGTGTGCCTTCTTGAGGGTACCCCCCCCCCATTTTTGTGGCCTTCCTAGATGAAATCCACCGGAAACACCGCCGTTTTATTCTTTTTGAGGGGGGGGGGGGGGGCGTCCCCCCAAAAACCGAGCCACACGCCCATATACCAAGCCTCCATTTCCTTAAGTCCCCTGGAAAAGAAATCTAGAAGATATCTCCAGCGATAGATTCCCTAAGCCAACGGACTATTAAAAGAAATCTTCTTCACAGCAAGCGGAGAGAGCGCCTGGAGCTCCGCCGCGGCGGAGGGCCGCTTCTGGAACTTCAGCCACCGAGAGGCCCCGCCGTAGGTGGTGAGGCGCCGGACCCCTGGCGCTGGGAGCCCTTTGGAGCGCCAGGCGTTGGATCTGATCCGAGAGAAAACTCCCCCCCCCAAGACGCCTTCCGAGTCCACAGCCATCGGAACCCGAGTCAGTGGAAATCAAGAAAGACTCTGATTGATCTTTGTTTCTGGTCTCTGGCCAAGTAACAAACAATATATATATATATATATAGACAAGTCGTACAATTGCACAGCAATAGGAGAACGCAGGCGCACGCACTGCGAGACGTGACGCTTTTCCTGACCACCTCTAGGGTAAACTCAACAACCAGACATCAAAGTTCGCGATGCTTGGATATGTCAATCCTACATCCCATGTCCGTCCGTGACCATCTATACCCATCAATCTCGTTCCTTACTGTGTTGCCAACAATGGGGCTTGGCAACCCTGGACCAAATCAGTTCTAAACGTTGCTGCGGCTAAGCGCGATCGACTGGCCCACTGTTTTTTTCCGCGGCGCCCTGGGCGCGCAGGTCGCTTGCTCCGGTTTCAGGCAAAGAAGTCGAAGCCGCGGCCTGCCCACAAAAAGGCGGCAAGGAATGGGGTTGGCTTAGCATGTCCGAGCATGGGTCTCTCTAAGCCTAGCAGGACTCAATGAAAGAAACAGAGCAGAACAAAACAAGACAAACGAAACAATGCAAAACAATCGGAACAAAACAAACCGACACAAAGGAAGTCTAACAACTCACAATATAACAAATAAACTACACAGGCAACGACACCAACACCGGCCAATTGCAGAGTTGGACGCGCACATCCAGTTCGCACAATTGGCTTGCCAAATCTTGCGGGAGCAACGGAAAAAACAGATCTGGGAGCTGCGCAACTGTCTTGTGGCAGACGAGAACATGAAGTGTGAGCACCAAATAATATGCACAATAATTGCGTGTCATTAACATGAAGTGTAAGCACCAAGTATACAATAAACAGCGGAGATCGGCTTCGCTTACACGTTGCAGAATTAGTTGCACCATCCTGTCAATAAAAGTTTGACAATGTTTTAGCCCCAGCCAAGGTGGCAGTTATGCAAGTCACTCTTTTCAGCTTCAAGTATTGTTGGTCATGAAGGCGAAGTGCCTCACATGGGTGAATGTGCTTTGAAGGCAATGCAAAACGAGTCCCCCCGTGTTGAAAGGCTTTGAGTCATAGTTCAAGTCTACCTCAGAGAGGTGCATTGCATAGATGTCAAGCACCTAGCAAGCCAACATGTTGGGTATACGGCCAACTTGCAGAACGAGGTCTTGGAAGGGAGATTTGCCTTTGCCATCCGAACTCTATTTGACTGCAACCTCTTCACATCAAATCAGTACCGCACTTGGGGTGGTGCGCAGTGCTGCGACAGTCTCAGACCATAAGTCTAGTGGTTGCAGCAGTTGCCGCTTCAAGTCCCTGACTCAAGCGAGATTCTCGAGTTCAACAGCTCCATCACCAGCCACAGAAGAAGTTGCTGCTTGCGGCATGCCCGAAATCGAAGATGAAGAAGAAGCAGAAGAAGCTGGAAGCGAAAAGAAGTCGGCAGCGCATTGCGGCCGACTGCTGCCAGCTGTGCACCGGCAAACGGGGCAAACAGCGGCACGGCCGGGTACTGCGAAAACCGCACCGGGTCCCCAGAGACGGTGTTGGCCTGGATCAGCAAAGCTGCTTCCCCAAGCCAGCGCATCATCGGCTCAGACACCAGCCGTGGTCTGGAGGGCTGCTTCATGCAGCTTGGGCCGACTGCCACTGCAAGGTACTTGATCTCTTACCGGCTACGTACTGACAAGCCCATGATGTTGCTGGGTGACTTGTAGGGGGTTGGTTTCAGTTTTGACCTATCGCCTGGTTGTCACGGGTGAATGGGCAGTGTTGGCTGGCACTGCCCCCTATCCTGCCTTACGGGTGTGGTTGTGGCTTAGTACCGGCGTGAGGGATCATGCCGGGAAGAGCCTGTGGGGAGGTGTAGCAAGGGTGTCACGCCGTCTTGCCCTTATGCCGGCCAGCCACGGAATTTGATTTCATGGCTGGTGCGGGTGGCGGGCCTGACTAGAGTGTTGCACCGCCCGCCCTTCCCCGCACTGCACGAAAGATGGGGCAGCGGCTCGTTGAACTCCAACCGGAGTCGTCCTGATGACGCTTGCGGAGGGACGGCCGCGATGGCAGGAGGGACCGTGCTGTAAGGCCGCGCACGGGTCGCTCCATCCTCCTCCTACTTGATCTCTCGGAGTGGACTCCGGTGGCACCTTCCCCACAAAACTCTGAAGCAAGCTCTGCGGGGCACGAGCAAGACTGCCCCAGCTGCAAAACAGACCGCAAGGAGCAGAAGTTTGTGGTGACCAGGCATGCGAAAGTGGCGCGGCATCCATGAACAAGGGCCTCCGCAGGATCAGAAGTTAGGCAGGATGCCGGCAGAAACAGCCAGCATGTAGATCCACTTGACGCAACATCAATGCAAACCTTGCTTCAAGCGAGTTTTGGAAGCTTGTCAAACGGTTGGGTGTCGAGGACACAATTCCGCCGGCGCAAGCCTTTGTCAACCAGGATTCGTTTGAGGTTGCCGATGCTTGAAGCATGCGAGCAGTTTGAGCAGGACGCGCGGCAACACGGCGACACCCCCCACCCCCCAACCCGCGACCCCCAACCGACAACCAGCAAGTTTGCTCACCGTGGGTTACAAATAGGTCCGTTTGCAAACGCAGACGTAACGCAGAGCAAACGATGACCGTTGATCCAACATGTCAGAAATTGTGGCTTCACAACTCATTTAGAAAACAACCTTTGTGTGTTTCTTGTTCAATCCAACGGCTGAGGCTTCGAATTGGTTACTCCTGTGTCGTTGGTGCTTGTGGCATCATTGATTGGGCATGAGGCCCAAGTCCTGCAGTTGAAGGGCGGCCTAGTTACTCTAAAAGAGGACCGGTACAGTGTGACAAATATCCAAAAGCAGTGCGATTCCCCAACAGACTGTGAGGTTGTACTCGACACCCGCCTCGAACCACGATTTGCAATCATGCGGGGTAGACCCATGTCGTGGCGTGCTCAAGTCTGTGGTTTCTGTCACTGCCATCCGCACAACAAAAAGCAGCGCAGTCCACGCATCCCACATCAGTTTCCCCATGCCTCGCTTTGGGGGCGCCGACCACGTCAGCAGTGCGCTGGTCTTCTCCTTCTGGGCCTCAACATGCGGCGGCGCAGCCAGCAAATGCACGAGCACCATATTATAGACTTATCTTGCTTCCAACTTGAGCTGGTGCTACTTGCGGAAGATTCGGACTTTTCCGCTGCTGTTTGCAAGCAATCCGGCAGTTGTCTCAATCGTGTGCTTGTTCTGGCTATCTGTTAAATATTGGGCAACACCAATCCAAATCGCCTGATTTTGAATAGTGGCCTATGTGGTACACTCTCGTACTCACGAAACACAAGGAGGTTTAGTTTGGAACGCGTCCAGTTTCGGGAAAGGAATGCAGTTCACCTTGTGCCTTTCAATCGGACTAGTCTGCACCTTGCTGACATAGCCATTCACAGCGGCCACCACGAGAACATCAGCTTGTGATCCGTGACACTGTGTTCGTTTGGGGGACCCGTTGGGCGAAAACTCACTTGTCCAAAGGACCTGGAAATAAAAGGTGGACCTTTTGGGACCTCTACTAAAAGTAGACCAAAGTTGGAAAACCAAAAGGTCAAAAGGTCGACTCGCTTTGGGCCACTGAGAAAAGGGACGCGCCACGGGACTCGGCAACGTTGCCGAGCCCACCTGTTTGGCGTTGCCGCCCTCTGCCGCCGCTGCTGCTCCTAGGGTGCGAAGGGGCACCCCTAAGATGTTGGCAGGGCCTTCCCATTGCGCATGAAAGAGCTTGGCATGTTGGGGAAGTTGCTTCCTCAACTGGAAGCTTGAAAACGGTTCACTGCCTTGACTCGGCAGAGGACATCTTTTTGGATCAGGTGGAAAGCTGTCCTGATTCTGCAGCCCCAGACACTCCCGAGCACATGCGCCCGAGTCTTGGCAAACAAAGCTCCCTGTGAGCCTCCAAGGAACAAAGAAAGGTCCTTGGCTAAATAACTGTCGCTTCCTCCCACTCCAAAAAGAAGAAATTCCTATCGTCTTGCTCACCAAGTGCAAAGTGGCTGCTTGAACCATGAGCTATCACGCGCCTTTGGGACATGCTTGATACCGCTGCAATCCCTGCCACTCACCAAGCACATTCCGGTTCACATCTTTGTCCTACGCCGAGTAGGACAAGTAGCCACCCCCCCCCCAAAAAAAAAAACAGACGGGGAGACTGCTATCTGCTTTGAACATAGCGCTGTGGCTCAAAAAACTGGTACCAAAATGGGTTGCCCTGGTAAGTGGAAACATGGCCCAAAACCCGCGTAGCCCCTCCTGTTTAATTTTGAGCCACAGCCATAATATAAGCCCTGATCATTGGTATCGGACACCTGAAGACAATGCTCGCACTGAAAACCGGGCACTCCATGACACATTGCTATGGCTCAAAACCCAAATCGGTTAGCCCCCAGTGAACGGGACCCAATCCAACCACTAAAGTAGACTAGAATGGGCGGTGAATTCACCTACCCCAAAATGGTACCATTGGTGTTGACCCACGACCACATGACCACTGACTGCAACACCTGTCCTGAGTCTGGCGGCTGATCCTGCATCTCTCAGATCACCCTCTGCGAGAAAGATGTGATGGGGATGGCTTGCTTCGCTTGATTTCAACAGCACACTCAGACAAAACAGATTTGTCTTTGTCACTTTCTTTCTCTCTGTCTTTCTTTCTATACGATCGATTCCTTCCCTGGTCCACCGATTCTGGAAGAGCGTACCCACATCTGGATTCTGCACTTGTGTCACCTCGGCGGATGGCAATTGTCCTGCAATTCAAATGGTAGTGGTGCCGGATTTCTGCCGGCGATTCCAAGTACTGCATGCTCCACACTTCGTATGTGAACCAAGTCTGTTGACACACAAGCTTTACCAGTTCAACCAGTCATGCACCTCGCTCACAATGAGCAAACCCGTTGGCCCTCATGCTGGGCTGTTGCCCTCTTGGCTTGCCAACTAAGGCGTCGTAGCTTTTTCCGACCAATATCATGGATGTTAAGATCGCAGGAGTGGCCCAGCTAGTTCCACACTACTACTGTCCCATGCCACTTCCAAATTAATGCATGTAGACCAAAGTACACTGGCATAGGCCCTAAACAGCTTAAAGAAGGAAAAACCAACGTTTGGATGTCACAAGAAGTGGGTCGCTTTCCGCAAAATTATGAATGGCACATCAATGCTAGTAAGTGCTCCAGCTAAACAATGTGATGGACTTATGCTGATGCCAGCAGCATGATGTCAAGCTCTGTGCAACAACCGCCCCTTGCAAAGCCTTCTCTGCAAAATTGCAAGCCAAACAGAGCTGACGAGCACGGATTACAAGTCAGGTTGACTACGTAGAACGCGCATGCACTTTTGCACGGTACATCCTTGCCGCGCACGCCTTCACCAGAACCGCAGAGCGTCAACGTTGGGGGCTGCAAAACAACGCCAAGGGATCAAAGGATGTCCAGGGTAGCGCCGCAACAAAGGCCTAAGATGGCCTAAGCAAGTCAACTCACAGCGCTGGTTCACTGACTAGAGAAGCAATGGACTCAAGCTCCCTCAACTGATATCCGGACGTCCCCAACGACACCAAGCCGATAAGCAAATCCACAACCTTGTAGCTCAAAAGATCCTCACATCATGTGACACGAAATGACACGTGTTTTTTGTGTGTCAAAGTCAGCGCTAAAAAACGAAGCTCAGGTCAAATGAGATCTTGTTGTTTAATGTTGAACACTACTTTGCTTTTTGTTTTAATCAGGCATCCTGGGAAGCTCAGCCTAAAAAAACGAGAGGCTAAAGCTTAGAGAACTCCGGCTAGCTTTCGTGCTAGCTTTCGGCTCGAAAATTCATGGCCAAATCGAATGGTTGGCTCCATGGCCCGAGCACTCTCCCAAGTCCCAACTCCTTGAGGGCGCGGAGCTTCGCGTGGACTTTGTGCAGCAAAGTCCTGCGGGGGTCCTACGGGTCCCTCGGGGTCCTGTAAGGCGCGCTTGAGTATCAACCAGGTCCTCCAGCAGAGACTCGATAGAATAAGCTGGCTCCCGATGTTTTGTTTCTTCTTTTTTTCTGTAGCCTATTTTAGGGGAACCCTCCCCGCAAAAAGGGTAAACAAAGCACTACTGGGGGACCTAGTCTCTCAAGCACCTGGTAAGCTGGAACTTCTCTGATGTCTGGCAATCTGTGTGGTCAACCTTCTTTGAGAGGCCATGCCCCCCCAGACCAACCACAGCCAAAGCTTGACAGGGGCTCAACTATGGGATCGGCGAAACTTAAAGAACAAAGAAACAGAGAAACAAAGAAAAAACAAACAAACAATGCACTTGACAAACAAATGAAAAAAACGGGCTCTGCGTTGTGAGACACGCTCGGATCCCCTATTTGAGGCTGTCATCACGACGCCCGCTGCCCACTGCCCATCGGGGCCTGGAGTCATCCATGAGATTGCGCACCTCCTTCATGGTGCTGCCACCTGGCAGCTTCCATGCGTTTAAGCGGCCCAACCCGGAGGAAATTTAAAATGCCCTCCCCGAACAAAAGATATAGCACCATGAGCATCTAATGGCTTCCAGAAAACACAAAGAATTTGCCTGAAAACAGCTGTGTAAGGAGGTGTCACGAGAAAATACACGACTGAAAAACAGCAAAATAATATAAGATAATTGGCAACATGCTCGTAAACGGTAAACCTGAATCTTAAAAAAACGTTGGAAGTCTTTTAATGAAGTTTGCGCAATCAAGAAGCATCAGAACAAACAAAGAAGCAACATCGGCGGTGGACTTCATGTTCCTTCCTGATCTTTGGGCCGCAGTCCATGTTTTGAGCCCTATCTGTGCAACCAGCGCAATATTGACCACAGGCACGACGAAAATGCAGGCCACAAGCATCGTCTCATCTAAATCCCGAGCTGAATAGACCATGAAAGAGATGCGCCCCGTCTGGGTCTCCAAGCTGAACATGGGCATCATCTTGGACTGCACGAAGATGTTCACAGCATCTGCCGTGTCGTGCGCAATCCTGTCAGGTAGTGAAATCGAACATTTAGCCTGCCAGCATAGTCCAGTTTTATATTCTGTCGGCCGCGTGAAAGCGGCATAGCTACAAACTGTCTGTAGAAACTATCGGAGTCACACACAAGAGATGGATCCGAGCAAGGTGAAATCTCGAGTCTTGGCTTGATCATGGCTAGCATGTGTTTCGGTTCTCATGCTCATGTCCAGTCCCAAGCCCAACCTCTGTTGGCGTCCCAATAAGGAACACTCCTCGCAGGTTCCTTCATGTAACTCTCACTAGCCCAGGTCCGGGTAAGGAGAGGTGCCCTGCGGGGCGTGCCTGATATATGGCCATGGGTCAAAGGCCCGTACCCCCAGTGAACATCCCAATCCCCACTAAAATAGACTAAAATGGGTGGTGCACCTAAATGGTACCATTGGTTTTGACCCACAGCCATATCTGGACAGTGATGAATTCAATGCCTGAAATGAATAATCTCTACAAATGAGACCTTCATCACTGGGTCGAGTCCCCGCAAACAGCCAACCTTGGGTAAACAATTATTTCCCTGCCCTATTGCGAACACCCATTTGACTTCTTGTGGCTCATGCTCTGCTACAAGGTCACCAGACTCGTCGCGGCCAACTCATTTTGCATATCTTGGCTCCTGTTCAATAATAATATGGCTGTGGTTTTCAAAACCAATAAAACCCCATTTTGGGGCAGGTGCACCGCCCATTTTAGTCTATTTAAGTGGGGATTGGGATGTTCACTGGGGGTACGGGAATTTGACCCATGGCCATATTGCTTTCCGGAATTCTCAAGCAGCGCACAAATCCGTTTCTTGTGTACCCATGAGCAAACACTTGTATGTGACACATGAGCACGCCATTTGCTGGCAATGCCGCCCTTGTCCTATGGCAGGTTGCAGCCTACCATTATGTGACATAGAACTCCACTGCATGTCTGGTAGCATGTAGTGAATTCAAGTGGGGCTTGAGAAGACCACATCTTGGTTGCTGTTGGCTCCCCTGCAAAAAGTTTAACTTTCTGGGGGTTTAGTGGAAAGCCCCTTGATTTCCCAAAAAGTTAAAGTCTAAAGATCCAGCCCAATAGCAGTCAAGACATTCAGCTCGAAGTCAGGAGTCATGTCCGATGTCCTCTTGGTGTCTGGGTCGTGCTCCACGACCTTCTCCTTCTCTTTGCCAACCTTCCCCCTTGGTCATACGTCCACCGGCGGGAGCGAAGGGGGCTTACTAGCATTGCAGGGCAAGCCACCAAAAGGCCCGCAGTGGTGCCAAGCAACCTTCTAGGAGTACCTTCCCCATTCTTTCCAGGGATCCGTCTTTCTAGAAAACCTCCGGAAACCCATGGAAAAAACTGGCTCTTGAAAAGAAGGATGGTTGAAAAGAAAGGACAAGGAATCAACCCCTAGAAACCTGTTTGGGCCAAGCGCCCACTGCAACAAGGAAGGTGGGCATCAAGGCCCGCAGGGAGGGCTGTGCTTTGATCCGGGCGAGTGAGGGCAATGATCCTTCACATGCGCCAAGTTGATCATGGTACTGTCGGGTGGCGACTAGCGAACCAGGAGGCAAATCAGAGAGCTCTTCAAAATCATGTTATTTTTGAAAAGAGAAAGGGGGAGAGAATACAGAACACATGTTTCCCGTTGGAAAAACATATAGCTGCGCGTCCGGGGGTGGGAAAAAGCATGATCCCGAGACCTGATAATACTGAACTAACTCTAAAACAATACTCATCAATACTAAACCAATATCAACTGATACCAAACAATGCTAAGCCAATCCTGAGCCAGCAAAACCAAGTAAGGCCCCAAACAGCCAAACTCTTTCGGACACCCTTTACTAAGACAGCCGCCAAACATATTTGTCAAGGGAGTGGTACGGGGAAGCCCCGAAAAGGTAGTACTAATACATGTTGAAGGGGGGAAATAGAGTATACACATCTCTGGCCAGGACCAAGGAATACTAAAACTTATACTAAACCAATTCAAAAGACTATCACACCAAAGGAATACTAAACCAGTGCTAAACCAATACTCAACCAATACTCAATCAATTCTAAACAGTACTGGGCCAGTACTTGCTGAGACTTGAACTTCCTTTCATCCTACTCTCACTTCCAGGATGAACAACGATGATTACATCCTTGCATGTGAGCATCTTAGCGGTGCATATAGCCAGATCGGCCCAGAGAGAACTGCACAATCATTGTGTGGTTTAAGTCCTTTTCCGGGTGGTTCACATGACCTCCGGTGCAAGAACCAAGGGAGGGGAATTCTCAAAGACATCCAAGGACGTCAAAACAAATGCCCGGTATTTTCCTCCAACAATTGCATAAGCTTCATTCTTGTCGCCCTCCCTAGATTGCTCAAGCCTGTGAGGTATTGGCTTGACACTTTCGTAAGACGTCTATCTTCGGGTTTGCTTGGATAGTATTTGCCAAACTGCTACCTGAGAGAGGAAGGGCCAAACAATTCTCCAAGAGTTGACCCTGCCAGCATGATGCTTCCTCATTTGGCCTCTGGAATTGCCAACAAGCAGCGAAAACTGGGTGTTGGCGCAATGAGTCTGCGGGCCTTGTTTCACTGATGGATAGTGCCGTGGCCGACCGGCCAGGCAAGCACAATTTGCCACTGGCGACTTCATGAATTCGAATTGGGCATGATTTGGGCGCCAACGGCGAACGGAGCCAGACTATGATAAGCAAGGTCAAACATTACACGACGAATTGAAAACTCAATGGAGCCTTTTCCTGTAGACAGGCACCTTCCCAAAATAGAATTCTCTTGATAACGACCTGATACAACGAATGTTTGGCCAGGCCGCACTTCCGACTTCACAGCCGCGTCCACCTAGGCGAGCTGGAACACAACCAATCTGAATCAAAGCAAGAAACGATCCATGGTGCTGGCATTGCTTGAGCTTTTCCTTTGTAAGACGGTTGATGAACACGCGCATTGCAACGGCAAGCTAAAACAATCAAACACAAAGAGCACCAAACTGTTAGGCTGGCTGCTCCGCTCAGATCCCCAGCCGAGGCCATGACAGCTGTGTCGCCCTGGCCCATTGCGCAGAAGCAAAGACTGGAACAAGAAAATGGTCAGGACGCAGTCTTTCAGGCTGTTGCTTTAGACGCCCCGCGCAAAATAGGGAGTTCATCTCTTACGATGGGCAAACCCTGGACATCCACACACTGCAAACGCCGAGAAAGGCAGCATAACAGGTAATCCCTTCCCCCTAATAATGAACGACGCCTCCCCCCCAGAAAAGCAATCCCGGCCATCAAAACAATTTTTATTATTAGGGGCCCCCTGGATCTGGAAGTCAGGTTTTGAAGGCGCCCTTTGCTCTGCGTATGCTTGTCTGCAACTGCGGTCCCCCTGTTCCGGTCTGAAAAATCGCATCAAAAATCAAAAATGCATTTCCGAGTAAGGAGTTTAAGTAGCGGGAGCTGAGGTCATGTTTTGTTGTTTTTGGTTGCGGGTTTTGGATCACACAAAGGGACCTTTTTGGAGTGGGAGTGAGAGAGAGAGAGAGAGAGAGAGAGAGAGAGAGAGAGAGAGTTGGCAGACTTTGTAATTAGTTGGCACAGCCTGCCGGCAGTAAAGGAAACGTACTCCCGGAGTTCTGGCTCGAAAGTCGCAACTTTGTAGTACAGCCGTAGTAAAGGAAACGTACTCCTGGAGTTCTGGCTCGAAAGTCGCAACTTTGTAGTACAGCCGTAGTAAAGGAAACGCACTCCCGGAGCTCTGGCTCGAAAGTCGCAACTTTGTAGCACAGCCGTAGTAAAGGAAACGTGCTCCCGGAGCTCTGCCTCGAAAGTCGCAACTTGTAGTACAGCTGTAGCAAAGGAAACGTACTAGGGGAGCTCTGGCTCGAAAGTCGCAACTTTGTAGTACAACCGTAGTAAAGGAAACGTGCTCCCGGGTCCCCCTAATGGGGCTGGATTTGAGTACGGGCAGGAAAATACCTACTTTAGAATTGGTTTAGTATTGGCTATTCTAAAAATAGTATTCCAGGATTTGGGACTTCTGAAACATTTTTTCTTATTAGGGAGACCTTTACTAATAGGGAGAAGTAATTTACAGCTGCAAATCGAGTGGGGTGTCGGGTACGTAGGGCCAGAAGTTCTGAAGCAAAGCGCCCGGAAACAAACACTATGGATTTGCGACTCAAACACCGCTGTCAAACAATTCACACTGTTCCATCAGCTATGAAAGGTGTGCCCAGGTGCACGTCATGGAAATTTGCCCTCTCCACTGGGCTAGACTTACAAGTGCAGCACTTAGTGAATGTCGTAGCTTGCAGGGTAAATCCGGAACTAGCGCACACACACACACACGCACGCACACGCGCGCAGGCACACACACACAGAGAGAGATACGCAGACACACAGACACACAGACACAGACAGACAGACACAGACAGACACACACACACACACAGACAGACAGACAGACAGACAGACAGACAGACAGACAGACAGACAGACAGACAGACAGACAGACAGACAGACAGACAGACAGACAGACAGACAATCAGACAGACAGACAGACAGACAGACAGACAGACAGACAGACAGACAGACAGACACAAACACAGACACACACCCAGCCACGCAGCCAACGAGACACCGAGTCACCCACCCAGCCACCAACCCACCCACCCACCGAGCCACCAACCCACCCACCCACCGACCCACCCACCCACCCACCCACCTTCTACGCACGCACGCGCGCGCACCCAACTACAGACACACGCACACACACACACACACCCACACACACACACACAGGCAAAGCCAATGGGCTCAAGGGCCAGTGGCCTCAGTGTCTGTCGCGCAGTGAAGTTGAGAAGTCCTCTGGCCTCCTCCTCTGCCTCACCCACTGGGTCCGGGTTGTCTTCCTTGGCTCCAATCAGAGTGGAAAGCGCAAACTGCAAACAATCCATCAGCAATCCGGAGAAATTGTTGGTAGGGGGGAAACATGAGGCTCAGGCATACGCATTTATCACTTGCTGGCTGGCTCCACACATGCTCTTGGAATGGAACGTGTGCTTCTTTGCGTTGTGGTGAAGAACATGGGACCTAGAACCAATGACTCAATTCATGTCTCTGTAAGGCCAAGGCTGTCGGTTCTTGTCAAGTGCAACCCAAATCAAGCTGTCCTGGACAAACAGCCAAAAAACAACTAACCAACTGGGCACGAATCAAAGCGCTGTTAGTATACGCCGCGATTGTACTGTTCCACGTGTTCGCATGAACACCCCCTGCAGTTGCCAGCGCTCAAAACCCTAGGGTTTAGTCACTGCGAGGTAGACAACTCCTCAATCGATCCTTGAACATTAGTATCAGCAATACTGCACCGACTGCCAAAATGCATTAGCATGGCGCTTCAGTTGCTCTGCACAAAAAGCGGAATTTCCGCAGGCCATCGTCCTTGACTTGGAGGGCAAACATGTCTAAACGCGCCAAAGCTACGCATCCGGTGGAAATGAGCTGACTGATTCAACTGATCCATTGATCCATGGGAACAAGCCCACGTTTGAAACGCCTGAAGAGGGGCCCGTCTCCATGTCACTCACTAGCGCTACGCGTGTCAGGACTCAAAATCGGACATCACAAACGGAGCTGTGCACCTGGCGAAAGCCGAAAGCTCCGGCATGCCTGCCAGTGGCACCCATCTCATATCACCAGCCCCGCAAGCACTGTCTGTGGCGCCATTGATGGCACTACTGCGTGTCATTGTTGATGTAGCGCTTAAATGCCGCAAGTAAGTTAAGTTGCAATCAGGCATCTCGAAGGAGGAGTTCTTGTTGCGAGGATTACACCCTTTGCCCGAGAGAAAGTCAGTCATTCGTTCAGGGTATTCAGCTTCGATTTCCTTTTAGCAACATGCTAGAGGCCAACTTCCTGTTGTGAATGGCTGCTTACCTATCCTCGCAGCTCTCATCAGTCGGGTCTCACAACAAGCCTGGAAACCTCCACTGTGTACTCTTAAATTATCCAGGTTGGTTTTCTTGGCTCGTGGCGCTATCCAAAACTCGAGCAATTGCCGACCTGTGGCCCTGCCACAAACAAAAGTGACTCCCCAAAGAACAATTTGGAACCTGAATGAGGCCCCGCGGAAGACCGTGCTGGTCGAGATTCCTGAAGCTACACACCCGCAAAAGCTGTGATGCATTCATTTTGTCATCAAAAGGGTTGTAACTGGCCAACCTTTCGCAAATCCCTACCCCTCACCTAAGACAGCGATGCGGAGCCAAGAAATTTGGACAGGTTCTCAATCGGGCAAAAAGAAACCTCAATGAGTTCACAAAAACTTGATCACAGCCTTGAACATCGTCACCAAATGCATTTTCTCGGGCAGAAGAGGTTCCTGTCTGAACGCATATGCACCTCCGCACAGTCTGTTTCATGTCAAAATGATTTGGACTCAACTCTCCAGCAGCTGTATAAGAGACATGGTGTATCAACGAATGCACGATGCCTCTAAGAGCCAGTGTAGATTTGAATGCTGGAGTCGGTTCAATCCTGTGCCAAATCATATTCAATTGTCAGTTTGAAACAATGAGCATAGCTGACAAGAACTGAGCACAGAGAGTCTTAACATGTCCGAACGCTCGAACAGGGTAGAAGAGGGTCGGTTTACACATGTCATGCATGCAAACACACATCTGCAAGACCTCATATTGACATTGCTTTCCATCTGTGGCTCCATACCAGAAAGCTAACAAGCCAATGCTGCCAGGCTTGTAAAGCGGTATATGATGCTTGTTTTTTTCCAAATGACAGCTGCTTCCATGCCGTCAATTCCCCCCCCCCCCCCCTTCCGGTCAGCATGCCTCTCCGCGGCATTGTGGGAAATGGAAGGCCCGAATCCATGCCGTCCACACCCAGACCTTGTGGCTGAAACTGAAACTTAAGGACGACAAATCAGTTGCACCTGGCCCAAGGGCCATCTTGCTTCAGCAACATGAAACTCTGCCAATAGCATCGTGAACGCAAAGAGTACACCTTTTGCGAGGGGCATATACGTACTCCAGACCAGCTGGCAGCAACGATGCCAAAGGTAACCGAACGGAATGTGCACCCAAAGTCCGTTGTTAGCAACGCAATGCTGGGTTTCACCACTTGCACTACTTCTGCCTGGGCGTTGGCAAACAGGCAGGCGCTTCTGAAGTATTCGGAAGACACCATGAAGGATATGTGGTTTCCGCAACAAACGAAACATACAATGCAGCAAAATGATTCTGGACACGGACTGCGCAAGTCTCCATCCAGGGAGGAGGAGGATAAGGGCTGCTGTCGCACTAGCTTTCTCTCATTTGGAGACCTTTGGGGGGCATGGCACCCAGAAACTAGCTTACCGCAGCCTAGAAACATGCAAGTGCTTGTTGGATGGTTTGGCAACTGCCTAGCACGGTGCTAGCGCAGAATTGTGTCTGTTGTCAGCTTTTGCCCGTCACCCTAGCATTGCCGCAGAAGGGGCCACTACGCAGGATGAAGACGGGCTCTTGCCAGCACTCACATGAAATCGCAACTGCAAACATTCCCTAGCGCCGAGCTAGCGCCAAGCTAGCGCCAAGCTAGCGCTGCCGGTGGGACTTGCATGATTTTGGTGGGGGCCCTAAAATCAAGACACAACAGGAATCCCGCACATGCTGCATATAATCTCCTTAGACGGGCTTTTTTGAACGGAAGCCACATGCTTGTGTGCAGTGGGAACGGTCAAGCCGCTCCACCCAACTTGGCCAACCTGGCCCCACCGGGCTGAGAACAACCCCAAGATGATCCAGCAACTGAAGCCCTGTACATGACGCAACGCATGACATGATTTCCTGGAACTCAAGGTAGGAGCACCAGGCTTGATGAGGCCTCATGCGCTATCCGTCCTGCTTTACTCCTAGGAGCGGTTTGACGCACACAAACACAGACACACAAACACACACACACACACATCACACTGGCATGCTAGGCCACACGTCTACACACAAACCTACAAAAGGGATCTGAAACGGGTGGGCGGCAAAAGCCCCCCCCCCCACACACACCACACACACACACACCATACATGCACCTGCAGTTTACATGTATGTAAACTATTTGTTCAATGTGTTTACGTACTTATATAATGCATGTCTCTATACATGGGTGTTGATCGAAATTCCTGCTATTCCGAAATGGCCATTCTTAGCAAGAAGCAAGTTTGTTTCGCAGTTGTCTGTTTTATTGTCGCGAGGCCACCGCTGTGCACCCCTAGTTTCCAGAGTCAGCACTACAAAAGGAAAGTCGTAGCTTGTTGGCACCAGGTAAACACGAAATGCACTTCTGCAGCTCCGGCTGGAAAGCAACTCTTCAGTACACAAATAGTGAGCAAATTGCAAGTCCGCAGCTCCGGCTGGAATATCTACGAAATAGTACGCAAAGCAACCACAAAAGAATTGTTCTACCCCAAACATACCCTGCCTTCACGTGTTGTCGATTTAGGCGACGACAGTTGAACAAATATGAAGCGGGAAAATACAAGCCTCACGCCAACGCTAACAAGCACAATCAAACACACACGTGCACACCATCACAAGCACACCCGACCTGGACAATCTAACGTACACGCGCACAAACAAACATAGTCAGTCGCACGTGGCGCGCCTGGCATTTCCTGGCCAAAGCCTGCGCCAGGCAAAAGGAAAATGGGAGAGTTAGGTGGGCCAAATGATGTTCACCCGCGATGAGTTAAGTTTTGTTTGCACTGCACATGTTGCAAACCCACGGGTATGCCAAAATCAGGGAACTGCTTTAGGTGGCTTTGAGAGGAAACTTGCAGCAAACCGCCCAATTGGCAGGGTTCTTATTCTTGATACACAAGGTGAAGGGATACGGGGATTTCTCGCCCAAAACCATATCGAAGTCACAGCAATTTCCTGTGTCGACGGGATGCAAAATTAGCCAAGATGAGCATTGAACGGAAATTGAGGTCAGTGCATGGCTTGTTCGTTTGAGGGGACCTTGGAGAAGAGAGTTCAAATTTTGACGACAATCAAACAATATCTTCATGGTCGTCGGGAAATATTTCAACCAGCTTACTTTATGAACATGACAGAACCTAGCAAATTGTTGGTCAGTTGCATCCGAACACCACCTTTCAACAGAAACAAGGCAAGACGATGATGATGATGATGATGCTGCTGGTGGGTGGTGGTGCTGCTGGTGGGTGGTGGTGGAGATGATGAGCGCTGATGCTTCACTGTCCTACCTGCCTTGCCTTTCAGTTTCCCTGCCTGACCTGCCTCCCTCAAACCATATTTATTAATTGCGGGGTTGTCGGGAGCCAATATTCGCGTTGCTGTTGCTCTTAGTGCTGCTTCTGCTGCTAATTGCTGCTGCCATGGTCGCAGATTGATCTTGGCTGTATGGTGTGTTTTGGGTATGGCTCAAAATTAAAGAGCCGGTCTTTGGCTCCGTTTACCAAGGTGGCATTTTGGTACCACTTTTTTGAGCCACAGCCTATTCATAGGTGTGGCAATCGCCAGGTCCATAGCTTACCCCGCGCCTGGAAAGCCGCCGGCAAAGCCTGGAGGGCAGGGCTGAGCTCGCAGAAGGCAACTCGGTGCAAGGAAGAGCAATACGCCATGGTGGTCCACCCCCATTAGAAAATAATCAAAACCAAAAGACACTGAAGAGAATTCAAACAACAACTATGTACATAGCCTAAGCCACCTAGAGTCTGAAAGTGTGTTTTCTGTGTTGTTTTGGAAACTCGAGGTTTATTCTTGGTGTATATGTAATGAAAGGAAACACAAAAAGCAGACCCAGACTCAGCCAACATGGACACACAGGGCCAACATGGATGCATAGGGTCTCATTGCTTCTTCGGTTGTTTGGAGAACTCAAGGTGTTTTGCATTGCTTGAATTATCAAGTTGTGTTTTTTGCATTCTGGGGGGTGGGGTGCAAACCACCAAGCAACTCGAGTGTGTACCTTCGGTTTTTGCCTTGGTGTTCTTGTTTTTGCACTTAAACAAGGCTAGACATGTGCTGATAAGTCTAGAAATGCGATAGGCATAAAAATAAACATAACGAATGTATAATGCAAGCAATGCATTCGCCGAATGATGTGAACATGCACACATGTGCTAAAACGAATGCTCGGCATAATGCAGCTAGGCATTGGTCAGGCAAGTCGGAAAGCTCACAAACATGTACTACAAGCAAGGACTATTTTTAAAACCATGCTTGAGACATGGTAGACTTGTTTGGAAATAAGCTGGACATATCTGGAAGATATGAATCATACGTGTTCTAGATACATGCTAAAAACATGCTAGACATATGATAGGAAGATGCAAGGCCTATGATGGGCATACACATCATCACAACAAATCTGTGTTAGAACAGTGCTGTAAACTTGGCAGGCACATGCTGAGATGTCTAGAAATGTGCTAGACATATGACTCTTCACAGGCTAGAAGTGAGTGGGCACCAGCTAGGAATGTTGGGGATATTATCCTAGGGACAGGCTAGGCATAATGCTGGGACGATGCAAGGTTTGCTAGACAAATGCTCCAGCAACATAACTTGGAATGTCACAAAGCAAAACCAAGTATTAGACAAAGGATATAAGCTAGACATACACAACATCGCGCTCTCAAGCCCGTATCCTGGATTTGCAGCTGCCCCTTCTGCAAGGCAGCCCGGCGTCTTGCGCTGACTCAAGGCCCGACTCGAGACTTGGGAAAACTGAACGGAAGACTCGAAGAACGCGACGCAAGTTCGGCCAGTCCTGCATCAATACTGTGAATGGACGAAATCCTGCACCACTCAAGAAACCCTGGAATGATGATTCCCTGTATGGTTTCCCATGGCTTCAAAGTGGTGCAGGATTTTGTCCACCCACAGTAGCACCCCGAACAGCGACCTCCCGAACCCGCCTGGCATTTGGAACCTCGGGAGCGGCGACGGGCGTCCAACCGGCTGACCATCAAATGGCTAAGTCTTGTGGGTTTGGGGCACCTCTTTGGGGTGGTGTTAAAGGGAAACCAAAGGAATAACCATCGTTTTGGGGTCCCCTATTTCGAGACACCCATATTGGCTTCAAAACTGCACGGGTGGGTCACCAGGACTGAGATGTCCCGCTACGACTTTACTCCGGCTTCTTGCGGGATTGATAAACTGTGAGGGCGGCGAACTCAACAAGAACCTCCACCTTACCATACCCTTGACAACATGCCCCAAAGCAGCGTGGCGATGTGCATTCCTATCGGGAATGTGTCCCTGAATACCGAGCCTTGTCAATACGTCTGGGCACATTGTCGTTATAATTAACAGAAACTGAATTATGGAACTTCCAAGTAGGGCACCTTCATCATAGGCAAGGTCAACAGGCCGATTTGTTGCCACCTCATCAGTGGGAGTGGCATAGCAAAATCAAAGGATGAGGCTATCACCGTTAAACGGATCAATCCTGCACTAAAAGTTTCATCGGAAGCTAGCAAAAGTCTTCATCTTTAAGTAGCTGTTTTGCAGTGGAGTAACGAATGGTGACAAGGCAATCACCGGGATACTTGCAACCGCTACGGATAAACTTGTTTTCGGGACAGAAATCCAAGGAACCCTGTCTGACTCACTGGGAACTATGGATGTTCAGGCTGCCACCAACTCCATTCAGCTGCAGAACCATATCTGCGCTTGAGATTTCATGACCTACAGGAAATCCAACTGGTAAACCTCAGAAGGCAAGGTCCAAGTATTCGTCTTATCACAGCATCGAAGATGTTCGCATTGTTGTAGGTAGTTAAACCAGTGCATAGTTCCCCCGATACGATTCAGTCAATGCAAAGTACAACTCAGGATGATGGGTGCTGGCTCACATGCCCTGCCATTGTCGGATTGCCTCACCCTTTGACCAGGGCCCACGTCTCACATCCGAGCAGCGAAGTGGCTGAATGATGGTCGAAGCCCGGCCTCGGATGTTTTTACTTCCTTGCCTGCATGTCGCTTTCAGTGTAGAGACTGAAGCCTAGCAATGCTGTCGAACCATGATATCAAGCAAGACGTTGGGATTTGGGTGTGGCTCAAAATTAACCAGGAGGGGTTACGCAGGATTTCGCCCATGTTTATTTCCACTTACCGATCAGGTTCCATTTTGGTAGCGGTTTTTCGAATTCGCCACTGCCATTTGCTTCGTTTTTTCTTCCGAGAAAGCGGCAGTCTGAGACAGTTGCATCGAGCCAGGTCGACGGCTTAGGACTGCACATGTCTGCCTCAACCAAACTGAAGGAAATATGATGCGGGAGATCATTGGAGATCCCTCCCTTTTCTAGGGGACTTAAATTAAGTCCCCTGGGGAAAAATACAATGTCCAGTGATAGATCCCTTTAAAACCAACAGGGGGAAAAACAAAAATCCCGTGCTTTCTCCAATGAGGGCTCATCGGAAGTCCTTTAGATGGGCAATTCAGGGATCGTTGGGGCGCTCACGCTGAAAGCGCGATGCTTCCTTGCCAAACAGGGAGTTCTCCCAACCTCGCTCGCGCTTGCAATGTAGGAGTGGTTGCAAAACCTCCTCAAAAGTGCCGGATGCTGCGTTCATCTTCTTTCAATCGACCTCTTCACAAAGCACTGGACACGTTTGCCCACTCTGCAGACTGGGCCGGCCGGCCAGCAGCTCAAGCCGGGCATGGAGCCCAGGGGCCACGCCCGTCTTTGGCTGAATGAGAAACGAAGCCAGGCTCGGAGCCACGGCGGAAAGAAGCGGAACTCCTATTTGGAACTCTAAAGCTCTCCGGGCAAGCTGCTTGTCCCGTTTGGCTGGCTTCGCTGCTGATCGATGCCTATCTTGGCCTACGAGCGGGGGGCAGAACTCCAGCATAGACAAATTCCAAAGGAAGCCGAGTTTGGGCTTGCTTTCAGGTGTGAGTTGCTGGGCTTGTACACACGCCATGATACCAGCGACAGTACGAAAGAGTGCGAGTGTGTGTCGGTGTTTTCTGTGTCAGGCTGCAAGTGCTTCGAGAGCCAAACAGCTCGCAGGCGCTGTCGGCCAGCTTTCAGGCAAGCCACCTAAAGTACGGAACCGCTGGACTTGCAGGCGTCTCAGCTCAAGTCTTCTCTCAAACGGTTGTACCGACCACCAAGGTACGAACAAAGCTGACATCGGGTCGCGACACGATTGCGCGCGGAGATCAGAAATTCCATGGGGATCAAGCCAACGTTCTCGCACAAACCAACCCAGCAGTGTGTTTCACCTTGGCAGCACCTAACCTCAAAGTACACAATCGCAGAGATCAATCGCATTGTTCATCCATCTTGAGGCTGCAACTGCCCATTTGTTTGTCTTGACAACTTTTAAGGCGTACTGCAATGTGCTTTTGTGCTTTCGCTCTCTGGACAGTCCTGCCAATTTGCCCGCCATGCATCCAGCAGTTCGTAATATATTTTTGCAGACGAGGCTCACTGACGCCGCTTTGAAGAATGCTTAGGTTCTCACCCGCGTTTGGGGGTCAATCCCTTTATTGGTTTCCCTTTATGTTGGTGGAAAAAGCCATGTTTCAAATAGCTGCAAAATGTATCTTTAAGGAGCCCCGAAGCAATGACCCCGAAGCTGCCTGCCATGCGCACAATCTCCTGGTACCACTGGCGCTCCACCGTGGCGACGTACTGCCGCTTCAACACCTCGCGGTGCCACGCGACGTCGAGGCGTCGAATCCGGGGCCTACGGGCCTACGGGCTGGGATCCACCTGAGGTCATTCTTGGAGTCGCCTGAAGCAGAGGTTAGTGGCCAACCAGAAGGGTCCCAGAATGCACTGAAGATGATGCATAGAAGGCAACCTTGGCAGCTATTCCCCACCGTTTGACTGCATTGCAACCCGGATGGGAAGACACACTTTGCTTCGAAGCAAAGCACATCCCGGTGGCTTCTCTGCCAACTTGCTTTAGGCGAGGCAATGGGCGTCTGGCGCTTTTGAAGCTGCTCTTTTGAGGGCAAGCCCAAGGAATTGTTTGCTGCGACCAATGCAGGATGTTTGTAAATACGCGCGAGAGAGACAATGATCAACACATGTTTAGCACAGTTGACCAATGTGGATGTCTTGCCTCCCAAACACTTCAAAACCCCCCTCGCAGCAGCCAAGCACATCAACCCGGAACACGTTCCCAGCTTTTTCTCCGCTTCTTCCTCGCGCGGCCGCAAGTGTAGAAGCTCCTCGGGCCAGCGGAAGGGGCGGAAGCGAGGGCAGACGAGTCGGGAGGGCCTCTGAAATCAAATTGGCAACGGCCAGCATGAAAAGGCCAGATGAAAACAGCAATTTTACAGATTTGTTGGCAACCTTGGTCGTGCTCAAGGAGATATTCTTTGCTTAGCAACCTGCGACTGAAAGACAAACTGGCAACGGCAATGAGGAATACCCAAGCAGGATCTATGCTGACTGTATCCTGTCCACGCTCATCTCAACAAACTATGCACGACCACAGGGTAGGCTGATGTTTCGCATGCAGCATAAGCCAACACAGAACTCGTTGATTCAGCCAGTTCCGCAATAACCCGGCCGAGATCGCTGCACCTCGTGCGTAGCGCTTCGTTTGCCTTGTTCGCGGCGCATCCGCTGCTCACCTTCCTTTCCCGCCTGCGTGTTGCTCGGCCGCCTTGCTTCTTTGTCTCTCTCTGGGCTTTCATCTTCTGCCCCTCGTTGGCTTGCGGCTTGCGTGCAGCAACTGCTTTGGTGGTCCTTAGCCTGAACCCTGATCACTTGGAGGCATCTCCCACTTTCGGAAAACCTAAGGACTTCCTGGTGCACCAGTTTGCCGCCAAAGCTGCCAGCTTCAAATGGATTGTGAAGCCGTCTGCACCCGCCTCAGAGTGGTGGGAAATGCCTTGGGAAAATCTTCCCGCAGATCACGACATGAGTCACAATCAAAGCCCGGTATTAAAATGGTCTACCCAGAACCATGCTTCAAGAATTAAGGCGGATATCCGCAACTCTTTCTGGGACCGCTAACCTTCATCAATCCCCGGGTTTTGAGCAAGTGGCTCACATGACAAAGCAAAAACGACCAACGCTTCAGAAAGGCTCCCCGTGGAACCCACCAGCGCTTTTCCCATGAGCGACGGACATTTGGCGGTGGCGAATTCAAAAAACGGGAATTCCAAAATGGGTTGCCCGATCGGTAAGTGGAAACATGTTTCCCAAAACCTGCGGTTTGCCCCCCCCCCCGATCGTTTCATTTTGAGCCATCCATCCATTTTTCAGGGAATCCATGCCGGCTTCTATCGGTGTGTTGCGGTACCAATAACTCCTCAGCTCCCGCCTGGGTCGCCGAGTCTTTGGGCGACCTCCTTAGCTGAGAAGCCAAGAGTGGGGCAACTGTTGTGGACCACAAAGTTTTTTCGAATCACACGTGACACAAACTAAGTCTAGATCCCATCCTCTGAGCATCAGCTGTCAGTACCACTGCATGTTTCGTGTGGATACAAAGGTGGCGAGTTGCCACTGCATGTTTCATGTGGATGAAAAGGTTGCGTGGCAACTTCCGGCCGGCTGCCGTTGAACACACACTGTGCAAAACGTTTGATCATGACACACACACACACCAACGTGGAGTGTGTTCCGCCTTTTCAGGACCCTGTTGGGCGTCCATGCCAATCTTAACAGTTCTGGTATTCACGAGGCTCTTACAAGTATGGTAGGTAGCAACTAGAGTGAAGACATGCAGCAGTGAAACCTAATTACCAGCTCCGCTGCGATGACATATCCTATAGGCCCCGCAAAAATATTTCTAGCAAACACGGAGTTTCTTAAGCTGCCGTGAGGGCACTAAGGAAACAAAAGGAATCCAACAGGGCAGCGACTGACTCAAGGTGCAAAGAGTGCTGTGCCAAGGGCTGGAAAGCACGCTTTGGTGGTTGATCTTAGGAACCTCATGCAAAACAGAACGATGCAACTGGACACGCGATGTGTTTTTGCGTTGAGACACAGCGTTGCGGTCGTGACACCTTTGTTGGCAACATATGATGGGGTCACTCCTGAGTAAAAGAAAGTAGACAATCTCTCAACTGACATGCTGCATTCTCAATCCGCATCTCAGAGACGCTTATAATTGCAATGCGCCATGTATCATCTTCATGTGTTAGTTTCGTCGGGCAGTGTGAGTATATCACAGTTGCCTCTTAATCCAAAGACAATGCATGGCGTTCCAGACTCGGATACTCAACACTGCTGAATGCATCATAAATCAACGGTGCAACATGCTGGCATCATAAATCAACCGTGCAACGCTATGACATTATCCGGGCCCAGCTGCCATTCCCTGACCATGATCATATTGGTTGCACCACATCTTTATCAGAGACTCATGGCTCGACAAACATGAATCTTATGATTGAGCAGAATGTGCGATGAATGTGACAAGGTTACCTCATGTCGCGGATTCGAGGATTTAGGGGCGCCTCTTGCCAGAGGGCTTGGGTGCCAAAAAAAAGAAAAACGCTCCGGCTTGGTCTTCTTTCAGCTGGGATGCAGAGGTCTTGGAGCCATCGGATCCGTCATGTGCTGCGCACTCAGCAGGCTGCGCAGGGGTGTCTGCCAGACACCAACCACCTGAGGCTCCAGGAGCAAACAGACGAGGCCTGTTGCGACCACGTTGGTAAACAATGGGGAAACCTGTTGTACCCAAGCCCGGTCAAGGGCATCAGTCCCCCAATGACGACAAACAGAATCTCTGTTCGTCTTGGCATGTATCATGTCAATGAGCAACTTTTTGCCGGTGTCCTCCTGCCCGTGGCATACCGCTTTCAACCCTTTCAAAACAACCGATCATATTCCAAGAAGACTGACTCTCCGAATGTGAGCTGATGTCTGCCTTGGACATCTTTGTGTCGCCCTTCAGAGCCACTCTCGAGCTGGGCTCAAGTTTTGATGGCCATGGTTTGGAGTTCGAACCCCAAAAGGAACACCTTCTGAAAACCAGGGGAAGGAACAGCTTCTGACGGGTCCCGGGTCCCGGGTCCCCTCATGTTTTTCCTCTGGCCTCTGGCTCGGCGCGCCGATGCACGTGGCAAATCTCCAGCAGCAGCTCTTCCTCTAAGGGGCCTCGGCGTGCTTCGAGCCCTTCACACAGGCGCTTGGGTGACCTGCAAAATCAGCTCGGCCGAATACAAAGGAGCGAGTGTCCTCTAGTACTTGGTACTTGTCAGGTTTTGAGATACAACCCTTTGATTGCCTGGTTGTTGCAGAAACGAGAGAAGAGACTGGGAACAAAGCAAACATACAGAAAGAAATAACGAAGAGAAACAAGCAAACAAAGATTCAAACCCAAGAGCTGGTTTCACAAAAAACATGGACCCACATTACGCCGAATCCTTTCAGGCCTGCTGCACATCTGGCTGACACGATTCAAATCAACGCTTCACCAAGGTGTCTTTTTCCTTGCCGGCGAATCTCCGGAAAGGATATCTGATAAAAAGCTCAAGGAGTATCTTCAACAGCATCGGCCAAATCCGAAACAATGGGGTGCAGCTTTCAGCTGAGAGCCCCGCTTCGGGTCACCAGCCGCAGCTGCTGCCGCCAGTGGCACTCCAAGGGCCGTTTGGCCGCCGGCGCCTGTCGATGGCGGTGCCACGTTTGAGACCGGGTCTGGTGAGTCAAAGCCTCAGCTCTCCTGCAACACAAAAACCACTCAGTGACACTCCCCGAAACTTCCCCCCCCTTGCCCCGAATCCCGGAACCTCTGCCAGATTGCCAGGGCAGCCCCAACACCAAAATTCGTGGCGTGGTGGCCTGAGGAGCTCATACTGACAATTGGGCTAGCTCAACTAGACAATGGCACGCAGCTCACAACATTTGATTCTCATTTCAATGCTGCAAGCTGGTAGCGTCGCAGCTGTCATCCCATGATTTGCATTCAACACGCTTG